CGTACTCAGCCTCAGCCTCCTGCTGGGCTGCAGAAGGTTCTGCCTCCTTGGTGGACTGTTCATGCTCAGCCTCAGCTTCCTGTACGGCTGCCGAAGTTTCTGCCTCCGCGGTGGTCTCTGCATACTCAGCCTCAGCCTCCTGCTGGGCTGCAGAAGGTTCTGCCTCCTTGGTGGACTGTTCGTGCTCAGCCTCAGCCTCCTGTGGGTCTCCAGAAGGTTCTGCCTCGTCGGTGGTCTGTTCATGCTCAGCCTCAGCCTCTTGCTGGGCCACAGAAGGATCTGCCTCCTCGGTGGTCTCTGCATGCTCAGCCTCAGCCTACTGCTGGGCTACAGAAGGTTCTGAATCCTCGGTGGTCTTTTCCTGCTCAGCCTCAGCCTTCCGTCGGTCTGCAGATGGTTCTGCATCCTCAGTCGTCTGTTCATGCTCAGCCTCAGGCTTCTGTCGGTCTAGAGAAAGTTCTGCCTCCTCGGTGGTCTGTTCATGCTCAGCCTCAGCTTCCTGTCGGGCTGCAGAATGTTCTGCCTCCTCGGTGGGCTGTTCATGGTCAGCCACACCCTCCTGTTGGGCTGCAGAAGGTTATGCCTCCTCGGAGGTCTGTTCATGCTCAGCCTCAGCTTCCTGTGGAGCTGCAGAAAGTTCTGCCTCCTCGGTGGTCTCTGCATAATCAGCCTCAGCCTCCTGTGGGTCTCCAGAAGGTTCTGCCTCCGCGTTGATCTGTTCATGCTCAGCCATGGCCTCCTGTTGTTCTGCAGAAAGTTCTGCGCCTTGGTGGTCTGTGCATGCTCTGCCTCAGCCTCTGCTGGCCTGCAGTAGGTTCTGCCTCACTGGTGGTCTATTCATGCTCAGCCTCAGCCGCTNTGTGTAACTGTTGTACTAGGCAGTGTTGAATCATGACTTCTGAATATGTTAGAGAGATCTAATGGTGAAAATGTCATCTCATCACCCAATGGAAGATGAATTGAGTCGTACATACACGGTGCTAGAGGCTGGGTTGGGTGCTCCTGCTGTACTGCGGAGATTCAGCACCCACAGAGGGCTCTGGAGGCAGAGCTGGGGCCTCATCATGCACTGCAGAAGGTTCTGCCTCCTTGGTGGTCTGTTAATGGTCAGCCTCAGCCTCCTGCTCCACTGCAGAAGGTTCTGCCTCCTTGGTGGTCTGTTAATGGTCAGCCTCAGCCTCCTGCTCCACTGCAGAAGGTTCTGTCTCCTCAGTGATCTGTTCATGCTCAGCCTCAGCCTCTTGCTCGGGTCCAGAAGGTTCTGCGTCCTCGGTGGTCTGTTCATGTACAGCCGCCGCCTCCTCCTGGGCCGCAGGAAGTTCTGCCTCCTCGGTGTTCTCTGCATTCTCAGCCTCAGCCTCCTCTTGGTCTGCAGAAAGTTCTGCGTCCTCGGTTTT